ACTACTACTACTACTACTACTACTACTACTACTACTACTACTACTACTACTACTACTACTACTACTACTACTACTACAAATACTACTACTACTACTACTACTACTACTACTACTACTACTAACTACTACTACGACTACTACTACTACTACTACTACTACTACTACTACTACTACTACTACTACTACTACTACTACTACTACTACTACTACTACTACTACTACTACTACTACTACTACTACTACTTATTATGTTCCTCCTCCTCCTCCTCCTTCTCCTCCTCCTTTTCCTCCCCCTCCTCCTCCTCCACCTCCTTCTCCTCCTCCTCCTTCTCCTTTTCCTCCGCACCTCCCTTCCTCAAAAACCGCAGCGGGAGCGAACGCCCGAAATTTCGGACAAACCTTTCCCCCCTTCCTTACGAGCCGAGGAGGCGGAGAGCTTCCTCTGCCTTCGCCTCCTCCTATTCCTCCTCCCCCCCGCCTCCACCTCCACCTCCACCTTCTCCCCCATCCTCCGCCTCCTCCTCCCCTCCCCCTCTCCACCTCCTCCTCCCCCTCACCCTTCCCCTCCACCTCCCCCCCTCCCCCTCCCCCTCCCCCTCCCCCTCCCCTCCCCCTCCCCCTCCCCCTTCCCCCCCACCTCCTCCCTCTCCTCCTCCCTCCTCCTCCTCCTCCTCTCCTCCTCCTCCTCTAACATTAAACCAACCTGAGCGTGAAGCTGTCTCCTCGAACGTTACACCAACCTGAGCGTGAAGCTGTGGCATTTGTCCTCCTCCTCCTCCTCCTCCTCCTCCTGCTCCTCCTCCTCCTCCGCCGCCTCCTCCTCCTCATCCTTTAGGCCCCTTTGCAAGCTGTACGGGGCCGTCCCGCGCGAGCTCTGCCCAAGACAGATCGCGCGGGATGACGAAGACTATGCCGTTCTAGTGGCGTCTCGGCAAATGGCCGGTAGGTACACAATGCATGTTGACTGTCAGGGCACGGTGTCTTGTGGGCAGAACGTAGCTTGCGCGCAGGCCCTTCCGAGGCTCGCGCGCACCTGTGACAGCAGGCCGCTGGTGGCGGCGCCCTCGAAGATGTTTCTTGTTGCATGGTTAAGGCTCATTCGGCGTGGGACGACGTCGTCGAGGGCCGCATCACGGCATGGCAGCGGGACGGCAACCATGCCGCCGATCAGCCAGCTAAGAGAGGAGCGTCGCTGGGCCGCCTTCGGGAGGAAGACAGAAACCAACTGCGAGGGTGCCTAGAAATTGCTCGGCGTCTCATGCGCTTCACAGGCAGGCTGGAAGCCGTGCTCTGCAGCGGTGGTTCGAGACCATCTGGGGCTCGAGGCCGCGCGCACGGTTGTCGTGGAAGCGATGTGGCCTGGGTCGGGGAGTGACGGTGAGGGAGACGGCGGGGACACTCATGACCGGCCTGCTGTGCCCCCTGGGGATCTCGACGAGGCTGGCTGCCCGTCTCGAGGACCATGGCGGGAGCAGGGCCACGCCCTTTTAGTAAAAGCCTTTTAGCAACTCCTGTGCTCGAATGGGAGCAACCGGCGCAGGGCACGAAAGGAGTGTGCTCGCATGTTCTGATTTGTACGCGTTGCTTTGGGCACGCCACGTGCCCAGGAGTCGGCCGTGGTATCAAGGCAGAGTGCTCGCCCACGGGAGGACGCAACCCACGGGCGCAGAGCCTGCGCAGCAGAGCCGAGAGAGGCGTTCATCCCCACCACGCGTGGCGCGCCCGCCTAGGCGAATTGGCTGGGCCATCAGCGGGGTTGCGCGCGTAGAGGAGTGAGCATTTCTCTGGGCCCGACGCGGCGCAGGCAGCGAGGGGGCCTGACGCGCGCCGCGCGGCCCTAGACCAACCGATGCGGTGGGGCAATGAATAACCCCGAATGGCCGGCCATGAGCGATGTCTTGTGGGCCTTCGGTGTTCGTTCGCGCGCTAGGGCGGAGGAGCTCGGACGCGAGGCGTACGCCCTCGATGCTGCCTGGGCCAGCGCCAATGCTGCCAGGGGTGAGTGTTTTGAATCAGAGGCACCCTCTGAGGCGTGAGGCCGGCCTCGGATGCGCGCCAGCGGCGCGGGCACTGTCTAGGCCCACCTCCACCATTGTGGGCACCTCCATCGGGTGTCCGTTGTGAGGGTGGGGCGGACCTCCTTCTCCTCTCCCCTCCCTCGGGAGTCGTCTACCTCCTCCTCCTCCTCCTCCTCCTCCTCCTCCTCTCCTCCTCCTCCTCCTCCTCCTCCTCCTCCCTCCGCCTCCGCCTCCTCCTCCTCCTCCTCCTCTTCCTCCTCCTCCTCCTCTTCTTTCTCCTCCTCCTCTTCTCCCTCCTGCTCTTCCTCCGCCTCCTCCTCCAGTTCCTCCTTCTCCTGTCCCCCTCGCCCCCCTCGCCACCCTCAGATCCACCCCCCCCATCCCCCATGCCCCGCGGAGGGCGAGTTCCTTGCGCGCCGTTTGCTTCTGCGCCGGGGGCATATGGCCCCGCAGGGCGATCTCGTACCAGCCCTGGTCGTCCTGGCGACGCGAGCTGGGCCCAGACCGTTAACGTCCCGAGAATGTCGAGGCGGAGTTGTATCTCAGTTCCCGAGCTTTGAGGCCCTCTGTGGACCGTGGGATCGTCAACGAACGACTCAGGAAAAAGAGACAACCCTGGGAAAAAAAGGGTCCTAACTTTTGGGGGGGCCGTATGGACAAACTCAAGACGTCGGATGTCTGGAGGGGGGGGCGGGCGGCGCGCGTCTCCGGCGGGCGTAACAGGGCGCGCGGGGATGGGCAGAGCGCCGCTGCGCGCCCAACTGTGGAAGAGGGAAACGACGGGGGAGATGGAGGCTGGGGGGGAGCGCGGGGGGGGGGGCAGGCACGGAGGTGGGATGGTGCGTTGGGGCACTTGGGGAGGGGGGCGAAGGAACGCGCTGGGCGGGGGATGGGGGCGTCGAAAGGAGGGCGGGAATGGGAGGTTGAGGAACCAATATAGTAATAACAAAAAAGAGGAGGAGAAGGAGGAAGAGGAGGAGGGGGACCAATGAAAACCCAAGACTCATCAACGATGTTGAAATAGACCAATAGACCCTCCCTCCAAGCTTCCTCTTCTTGGGCCCCTACGAGGATTAATTTCCACGGAGGGCAGTGCCCTATTGGGCGACAAACGTTTGAATATTCCGAAGCGTGCCCGAACACCATACTCATGACTTCAACGTCACGAATCAAAACTGGCTGTCGCGTGTTGACGATCATGAACCTGAATAGTGCCAGAACGCCTGTTGCGCCCTGACGATCATGAACCATTCAAAAGCACGGCGCTACGGCAAGAACCACATGTTGAAAAGGAGCCGCCCTCAGTCCGTGAAGCTCTTGTACATTTACATAGCGAGTGCGTGCGGAGCCAAGGCGAGAGTCACATTTTGAAAACGAGCCGCCCTCAATCCGTAATGCTGTTGTAAACAATAAAAGTACATGTGCGCCGCGCTGAAACCAGAACTACATTTTGAAAACGAGCCGCCCTCAATCCGTGAAACCATTGCACATGCTTGAAGCAAAAGTGAGCGGCGCTAGAGCGAAAACCATATTTTGGAAGCGGCCGGTCATCCATATGAGAAGCTGTTGCCAATGTTTACAACGGAAAGGAAATCTCAAGCGAAACGCCCGGCCCGCCCTTCCGACTGGCATCGGGGCGCGACAGGGGCGACCGCGTCTGCCGTGACCCGGGGGCCGGCAGGCGATCCTCGGTCGTGATATTCCTCGTCCTGCTGCGTGGCTTGCGCCTTGCCGTACACCGGCTGCGCGAACGCGAGTCGCGTTCCAGCCCCAAGGCGAAAGCGGCCGTCGGCTTCCCGGGAAGGGGCGCGCCCCTCTGCCGCGCCCCTCCTCGAGCGCAGGGGCGAGGCGAGGGCTGCAGGGGGAAGGGCGGCGCTCTGAGCGGCCGCGGCGCCGGCGCGCGCCCGCGCAGCCAGGGCGCCATGGACGAGGGCCCGGGCGATGCGAGCAGTGAGGCTGGGCGGGCACGCGTCTGCCTCGTCTGCCTCAGAGTGGCCGCGCGGAGGCCCGCGCGGGCATTCGCGCGCAGTGCCCTCCAGCCGCGGGGCCCCCTTGACCGACGTCGGCCTCGACGCGCGCGCGCCCGAGAAGCACCGGGCGAATGACTTCGCGCGGGCCCCCGGGAGATCGCCCGGAGCAGCGATCTCCAGCGAGCCAAACACGTCAGACGGGCCGCCCAGAGTGGGCGTTGAAGTCTCACATCCCCATGGCGCGTCCGCGCCCTGGAGCTCCATCGCCAAAATGCCGCGGCGCCGCGCCGGCAACACGCCCGCGCTGGCCCTGTCCTTGTCTACGGGGGGGAGATGAGCAACCCCGTAGACATCAGGAACAACGGCGTCGCGAAGAGAGCTGCGGCCATGCTCGCTTCGACGACCTGGCGCGAAGGTGCAGCACGCCGGGGAGAGGAAGCCACCGCTGCATTTCCCAGCCTATACGTCGGCGACGATGCGCTCGAAGAAAATCCCCTCGCAGACGTCGCTGTCAAACGTGTCAGCGGCGCCCCCGGCCCGCTCGATGAACGAGTCGACCCCGCAGGGGGGCCCGCGCTTGCCGCTGCCGACGTAGATGAACCTCATGCCGCGAGCATCAAGGCCATTCATGGCGTCGTCGTAGGAGGCCCTGGATTACGGAGCCACCGCCCAGCGGGTTTGGACCGCGCCCGCGGGCGATCGTCTTGGCGCCGCGCTTGCAAAAGCATCGAGGACATGCATGGGGCCCGGAGGCTCCGTCCGCGGGGGCCGCGCGAACGGAAGGAGGCTCCGACGCGGCCGCCGTCGTAGCCAGCTCCGCCGGCAGCCCCGCCAGCTTCTCGAATTGTCACGAGCGGCCGCCGCGGCCGCAGCGACCGCCGCGCTTGCCCCCGTCCGAGCTTGGGCGGCGCCTTGGGCATCTGACGGCAGCCCTCGCCGCCGTTGGAGTCGTCGAGACAAATCGCCGACGTGGGCTTCGACGGGCAGGCGCCCGCCTGGAATTCCTCGCACAGCGGAATCCCACGGCGGTCGGCGGTGCTCCCGGCCCTGTCGGGTCCGCTTCGGCGGCGGTCGAGATGCGCTGGTCGGCGGCGCCGCGGCGGCCTGCGACCGGGGCACCTCCCTCGACCGCGGCAAGGGGGCCGCGGAGCAGAGAGGCCGCATGAAACTCGAGATCGCCCTTCCAAAACTTGCCCCCCTTGCCAGCTACCATCTGGAAGACCGCGCCCCGCGGGCGATTGGGGCCCAACTCCGCGGGGAGATGCCGCCGATTGTCCCAGTCGAGCTGGAATTGCCGGTGCGCCGCCTCGAAATGCTCAAGGCGGCGTCGAACATCTGCCTGATAGATCGGGCTCCACCCGGACGGGCCGTAGATGTCCCAATACTTCTTGATATTGAGCCAGCACTCATCCGCCGCGCAGATATCCGCCTCGTCTAAACCGACCAAAGCGGCGACTGTGAAGCCGAACGACTCGAACCACGCATGGAAATCCAGCGGCCCTATAGATCTCGACGTCCTCGAACCCGCCTCCGCTGATGAGCGCGGAGACGTCGAATCGCATCTTCCGGGTGGGCCGGTTGCGGCTCGGAATCGAGGTGGGGGGCGGCGCCGGACTTGATGATCATCTGGAAGCCACGTTCCCGGGTGAGCTGCCGGCCGCGCGGCGGGGCCCCCCGTTCGCTTTCCAGTAGCGGCTGTAAAATTCCGATCCTCCCCGGCGTCGATAAGGACCGCCTTGCCGCGGGCCGTCTGGTCCGTGATCTGGGACAGGTCCACGTCGTCTGCCGCGGCGCCCCGCGCGCGCTGCGACTCGGCGATGGCCGGCGCCGCCGCCGCAGCAGGTGCCGCCTTGCTGGCTGGCCTCAACCGCGCGCGTGACCGCCTGCTGGCTGGCCTGAGCTTCCGCCGCCAACTCGCCAGCCGACTTCGGCGGCGCCGAGGGCTGCTCGATGTGAATTCGAGCAGGCTTCGCAGCCACCCGGATCGTTCTTCTGGGCGACCTTGACCTCGGCCAGCGGCCCCCCGGCGCGCAGCTCCTGGATTGCATTTTCCAGGTCGGCTGCGGGAGGGCGCCCCGGCAAGGCGATGGGGGGGCCCCCGCCGCAGCCCGAGGCGCCGCGCAAGGCATCGGCGACAGCCGCGCCGACGGCCGCCCGCGCCATCGCCTGCGCGACAGCCGCGCCGACGGCCGCAGCGCCCGCTCTCCGCGGGCTCCATCGCGGCGGCCAGACGCAGCCAGAGAGCGAGCGTTTACCCGCTCGGCAGCCACCTCGCACAGCCTCGAACAGAAGCGAAAGGGGAGAGTGCAACGCGACGCGTCGTTGCGCCAGAACGGCAACGGACGAGCCACGCAAGCAACGCGCCCTCGCCATCTTCCCGCCGCCAGCGCGCGAACCTTCAGCGCCGCCGCTCGCGGCTCAACCCGTTATTCATAAGGGAAGAGAAATGAATAGAGGAGAAGGAGGAGGAGGAGGAGGAGGAGGAGGAGGAGGAGGAGGAGGAGGAGAAGGAGGAGGAGGAGGAGGAGGGGAGAAGGAGGACGGGGAGGAGAAGGAGGAGGAGGGGCAGGACGCCAAACCGATCAGCTTCCATTGCACAGCACAGAGGTCCCGAATGATCTGCCTGACGGGCCCCCGATGGCGCCTGAGAAATAGAGCGCATGACGCCTTCTCGCAAGGGCCACCGGCTGGGTCGTAATGATGTGAAAATCTGGCAGGTGCGTGGAGCCCACAGAGACCCGATTGCCCTCGCGCTTGCTCTCGCCCTTGTCAGAGGACCTCGAGCGGCCGACATCTTCTCCCTGGGAGATGTCGACCACCTCCGGCCCCCCGGCGCTCCCTGGCGCGCGTGAGGGGTGCGCCGAAATGACGGCAGAACTGCATGCGAATCCTGCCACTGAGGCCTTCGGTGGAGTTCCCTATAGGGCAACGAACCGTGTGAAAAGTGGGCCTTCGGTCCCTATGGGGCCACGAGCCGTGTGAAGGGTGCGCCGGAAGGACGGCTTCACTGCATGCGAGCCCTGCCACTGGGGCCTTCGGTGGAGCTCCCTACGGGGCCACGAACTGTGTGAGGGGTGCGCCGGAATGACGGCTGAACTGCATGCGAAGCTTGCCGCTGGGGCCTTCGGTGGAGCTCCCTATGGGGCCACGACCAGTGTAGGGGGTGCGCCGAAATGAGGGTGGAACTGCATGCGAACCCTGCCACTGGGGCCTTCGGTGGAACTTCCCATGGGGCCACGGACCGTGTGAAAGGCGCCGAAATGACGGCTTAACTGCACGCGAACCCTGCCGCTGGGACCTTCGGTGGAATTCCCTATGGGGCCACGAATCGTGTGAGGGGTGCGCTGGAATGACGGCAGAACTGCATTCGAACACTGCCGCTGAGGCCTTCGGTGAGCTCCCTATGGGGCCACGGACCGTGTGAGGGGTGCGCCGACAGGAGGGTGGAACTGCATGCGAACCCTGCAGCTGGGGCCTTCGGTGGAGCTCCCTATTGGGCCACGGACCGTGTGAGAGGGGCACCGAAATCAGGGCCAAACTGCACGCGAGCCCTGCCGCTGGGGCCTTCGATGGAGCTCCATATGGGGCCACGAACCGTGTCGGTGCGTGCAGGAATGGGCGGGGAACGATGCCGATGATGGTGATGATGGCGGCCGTAATGGTGATGACGATAGTCATTACGATGACGCTGACGAGTTCGATGATGATGATGAGGAGGAGGAGGAGGAGGATGATGATGATGATGATGATGATGATGATGATGATGATGATGATGATGGTGATGCTGGTGATGCTGGTGATGCTGGTGATGCTGGTGATGCTGGTGATGCTGGTGATGCTGCTGATGCTGATGCTGATGATGATGACGATGATGATGAAGATGGGAGGAGGGAGGAGGGGGAGGATGAAGGAGATGAGAGGTGGACGCGGGGCGCTATCTTTTCAAAACGAAGGCCCAACACAGGATGGCTAGGAATGATAAGGAATGGAGGGATGGGGGGGCCGGGAAAATGTGGACGAGGAGGAGGAGGATAAGGAGGAGGAAGAGGCGGAGGAGAAGGATTACCAAGCGCGCTTTAAGCTTAGAGGGTACTAAACCATCTTTAAGGATGAGGCGGCCATCAATAAAATACTGGATACTGTGCAACTGCGACTCCGACGCCGCATCCTCAAAGTCGGAGGTTCTGCAGTAACCTATCGGCCATCTGCTGACACCAGGGGGGGGCCAAGGAAATACTCCACCCACTTCTAGCTTTCGGCCATACCTCGGGATCGGATGCCAAGTCCTTCGACGGGGATTTGGTACGTCACCCCCGCTTTGATTGAGCGGTTTGGGGCTCCACTGTCGAGGAATACCCCTTCGGGCGCGGCACCGAAATTCGTGACATTGTCGTTGCGTCACGAATTTGGGTGCGATCTGGTCCATCGCCCCGTTGAGAGGCCGACCTCGGATCTAGGCTCTACCGGCCTACCCGAACCGTCACACGAATGCCAATGTCATTAAATTGGTGCGTCACGGACCTTGTCCGAGACGGCACTCCGTAACCCGGGATCTGAATGTCACCGAGACGGTGCATCACGGATTCGGTGCGCAACCGACGGCGTTACCGCACCAGGCACGTAGAGTGAAGCAACAGGCTCAACTCTATGGTGATGCACCCAGGCCCTCCAAACCGTCTTCACGTCATCAACGATAGACGTTCAACTCATCGCCTCGTTGAAAGGCCGACCTCGGACCTCGGATGCACCTTCATCAGGCGGCAATTACCCGCCCTCACCCCTGGCGCCATCTGCTGTATGTGGTGTATTTGATTACGGTGTAAAACATCGCGGGTTCGCCTCCGAACATGCGTCGTCCAAGTCCTGACCTCTAAGCCATGACACGACGCATGGCCGAAAAGCTCCTCTCAAACACTGAGAAAATCCGGCGTGCAGGCCCATCCGATATCATTTCGGGTCCAGCGGGATCCTCCAACCTTACGCCGGGAAGATCCCCTCGAGGCATGTTCTGGGGAGGGTTTGCTGGAACATGCCTCCGGCGCCGTGCGCCGGGGCCCATCGGGGCCTCTGGGTGGACTTGGCAGGCCCCCTCGTCCACGGCAGGAGGAGAGGGGGAGGAACGGACGGCGGGCCGAGGCAAGACGGCGAGCGGGAAGAGGCGGGAAGAGGAGAGGGGGGGGACGGGGCCAAGAGCCTGGAGGAGGCCAAGAAGCGGCACGGAGGCGACTGGCAGCCGCGCGGAGCGAGAGCCTGCCTCAAGAATGCGAGGAGTCAGTCGCGGCGACCTGGCGAGGCCGCTGCTTGTGTTTGCTCTTAGGTCCAACCCTCTGAGGTGCTGGGAGTGGGACCTCCGGGAGGAGCAGCGGTCACCTCAACAGTGCCTGGCTGAATGTTAAAATCGGGCGGTCCGCATTGCGCGCCTCCGCAGACGCACTGGGGTCAGTCGCCCGTGTTGGCTACGCCGGGCGCTGTCTGGGCGGAGCGCCGACCCCTCAGGGCTGGCTCTCTGTGGCCCCGCGGGTCAGTGTGTGTGGGGGAGGAATGATGAAGAGCGAGGGCGGGAAATCAAGGGGAATCCAAACGGCGAGAGGCGTGCGCGGGGGCGGTGCAAGGTGGAACGCCGCGAAGGGAGAGGGGAAAACCGAATGTACTCCGCCGATCAGCCCTGGGGCTGGGGGGAAGAAGGCCGCAACACGCCGCCACTTTCACGTCCGAGCGGCCGGACTAATCGGGGCTGTCAAATGTCCTCCCCTTGTCGGCCACGAGACCGGGGTCCCTTGCCGGAGCGAGGGGAGGAGCGGGAAGGGGGGGGGAGCCGGGCTTGCTGCGGGCGGGGGCGCGAGGGGGGTGGGGCAGCAGGTGCAACCCCTCTGACCTGTGGGGCAGCCCCCTGGTCTGGGCGCCTTGGCGGCGCACCTCCGCAACAGAAGAGGGCTCTCGTAGGCCCCGCTCGGGGTGGTGATTCCCTAGTGGGGGGTCTCTTAGGGCCAAGGGGGGAACAGCCCTAACGACCCCGACCTATGGGGCAGCGCCCCTTGTCCAGGCGCCTCCGCGGCGCACCTCCGCAACAGAAGAAGGGTCCTCGTGGGCCCCGTTCGGGGTGGTGATCCCCGAAAAACTGCAACTTAGGGCCAAGGGGAAACAGCCCTAACGACCCCCCTGACCTGTGGGCAGCGCCCCTGGTCCAGGCGCTTGGGCGGCGTGCCTCCACAACAGAAGAGGGGCCCAGAAAAAGGATAGACGGACGAGGGCAAGGGCGGAGGCGCGGAGGAGTGAGGGGGAGGAGGAGGAGGAGGGGGAGGAGGAGGAGGAGGAGAATCACCCTGCCGCTCCTCCCTGGCATTCCGCTCCTGTAGCTTCCCACGGCCCTCGCAGTAACATCCCCGAGGCCCCAGTGCGGCCAGAAACTCCCCTCGGCAAGCTCAGACCCTCCTCCTCCCCCAGCAAGGAGCCTGGCTCGACCCGGCCCCTCTCGGCACCGCTCCTTCCGCAGCTCCACCTCCCCGCCGACGCGGTGGTCGATCCACCTGGCCCGTGCCCGCCAGTGCAAGGGAGGGGGAGCGGGGCGGGGACGAGCGCCGAGGAAGCGAGCGACGAGGACAGAGACTCGGGCGCCCAAGAGCGCCCCAAAACGGGACAACAGGCCCCAAGGGGAGCCGAAGAGGTCCTCAAAACAGCCCCAAGAGGGGCAACACGAACTAACATGTTGTTCCTTCTGCTCCAGATGGCCCCGAGATCCCCCCAAGAGGATCGAAGAGGCCCAGATCAGGCCCCCCAAAGACCTACGAGACGCTCGTAAGTGTTCCGAGGGGTCTCCGAATAGAGGGTCCCGAGAGGTCTCGAAATAGATCCCCGCAAGCATCCGAGGGGCCTCTGTCGGACAATCCAGGCGCGGTGACGGGATGGGCCGAAAGTCATCACACATACACACATGTATGTGTATATATATATATATACATATATATATATATATGTATATCCGCCGGCCCCCTTGTGGGGCCACCAGGCTGCGAGGCACGTGATTCGCAGTTTCCTGTACCAGTCGCAGGTTGTAGTTTCCAGTGTTACAGTTCTGCTTCTTGCTGGTTACTGTAACTAGTTGACTTCTTGCTGGTTACTGTACCTAGTTGATTGACCGCGCGAGGGGGGGGGAGGCCCAAACAGGATTTTTAGCCTCACCTGGGCGCGTTGTCTGAATTGCTGGGGGGGCTCGAAAACGACACCCCTCACGCAGATCCGCGGGGTCAGGGTCCAAAAACACAAGGGATTTGCAACATTTCTGCAATTCGGTGCCACCCCTCACGCAGATCCGCGGGGTCAGGATCCAAAAACACATGGGATTTGCAACATTTCTGCAATTCGGTGCCACCCCTCACGCAGATCCGCGGGGTCAGGGTCCAAAAACACAGGGGATTTTCCACATTTCTGAAATTCGGTGCCACCCCTCACGCAGATCCGCGGGGTCAGGGTCCAAAAACACAAGGGATTTGCCACATTTCTGAAATTCGGTGCCACCCCTCACGCAGATCCGCGGGGTCAGGGTCAAAAACACAAGGGATTTGCCACATTTCTGAAATTCGGTGCCACCCCTCACGCAGATCCGCGGGGTCAGGGTCCACAAACACAGGGGATTTGCCACATTTCTGAAATTCGGTGCCACCCCTCACGCAGATCCGCGGGGTCAGGGTCCAAAAACACAAGAGATTTGCTACATTTCTGAAATTCGGTGCCACCCCTTCACGCAGATCCGCGGGGTCAGGGTCCAAAAACACATAGGATTTGCCACATTTCTGAAATTCGGTGCCACCCCTCACGCAGATCCGCGGGGTCAGGGTCCACAAACACAGGACATTTCTGAAATTCGGTGCCACCCCTTCACGCAGATCCGCGGGGTCAGGGTCCAAAAACACAGGGGATTTGGTACATTTCTGAAATTCGGTGCCACCCTTCACGCACATCCATCGCAAGGCGTGGTAACCCAAACTGCGAGAACTCCCTCGGCCCTTTAATCGCAAGGTGTGGTAACCAAGCCCGTAAACCATACACGTCTTACCAATCGCCAGGTGTGGTAACCCCTCTTGTGATCAGTTGGTTTTGCTGATTGCGAATCGGCTTCGCATGAAGTTTCGATACTGCTTCACGACAGCGCCAAGGCCTCATGACTTAGCTCTTCCATGGCCCATTCTCCGAGAGAGGGGGCCGGCGGCAGGGGGCGAAGCCCTTACGGATAGATATATACACACAAGTATGTACGCATGTACATACGTACATACAGCCATTGTATGTAGATATGCACCTATAACTATTCAAACACACGCACATATGTATGTATGTATAGACACACGTACATACACACATACAATATTGGATAGCGCGCTTCGCTTCGCCTCAACTCTTGGTCCTGTGTCCGTGTACCTTCGGGAACCTGTGGAAGGATATATAGAGGTGGGACGCTCTTAAAAGCAGGGCGGGGGGAGCAGGAAGGATAAATTCGGCGCCCCGAAGCCACTCTGGGCAAACGGCGGGTCCGAATGCAAAACAAATGAGACAGATGTCGATGCAAACGGACAGGGACGACCTGATCTCGACACCTCCCGAAGAGCATGCAAGGGCGAGTGGAGCGGGGAAAAATCATGAACACGAGGGGGTTAAGGTCATCGCCTCGAGAAAGGTTAATATTATGAGCATGGTGGACATTGAAAGCATGGCCGCGGCAATGGTTCAAATGATGACCGCGACGGGGCTGAAGGCAATACGGGAAGAGGCAATCATGGTGATGATCGAGGCATGTGGGGGCGAGAGTGGTAACCGTGAGGTCGTGATCAAGACGCTGAGGGTTTCCAAGTATATACCGTGAGGGGGGTGAACGTCATGTCGGGTTAATTTCTCACAAGTTGCTGGAGAAACTGTTGCCCCTCGGCGAGACGCAGCTGCCGGCGAGATGTCGGGAGGACAGCAGCAGGTCGAGCACACCATCCCTCCTCGGAGAGGTCGTCTGGCCCTCAGGCGCCTGTTCGGGACAATCCAGGCACCCCAGAAACGCCCTCGGCGAGGCGCAGCTGATGGAAGGCATCGCGAGGCGAGGGAACGTCCCAGAATCAACAAAAGATTGCATGAATTAGCGTTAAGCGTTTTTGCTCACATCAAAGATGTGTCCGTCACTGGGCCGTCGTGGGGCCCTGGGGGGCTTATTTAGAAGCTCTTCGAGGCAAATTGGGAGTCTCTTGGGGTCTTGGAGGCTTTATGGCCTCTTGGACCATCTTGGGGCCCACTTTGGCCGTGTTGCGGTTTGTTGGACCGTCTTGGGTCCTCTGGGGCCATCTTGAGGCCCTCTCGGACTCGTTTTGGAGCCCTTTTGGGGCCCTCCTGGGCCACCTTGGGCCGTCTTGGGGCAATCTCGAAAGCCCCTCGGGGCGTCCTGGGTTGTCAGAAGCCCGAAACGCCGGAACGCCAGAATCGTTCAAAACTATATGGAATTGAAAGAAATGCCTCTCGCGGCCCCTCTTGGGGCTCTCCTGGGGAGAGGTCGTGTTGTGGCAATCTTGGGGACATGCGGGAAACGTCCATCTTGGGAGTCGTTGCAAGCGCTCCTCGGGCCGTCTGCGGCGTCCAGCAGAATGCGGGCGGCTAACCAAGGAGGCCCCGGAGCGGCCCGAAAAGGACCCAGAGTGAGGTGGGGCGTCAGAAACATGTCCTGAGAGATCCTGGGGTGGGTGGGCCATCCGGGGCGGGGTTCCATGCAGGACGCATCATCATCATTATCATCATCATCATCATCATCATCATCATCATCACCACCACCACCACCACCACCATGACCATGACCATGACCATGACCATGACCATCACCACCACCACCACCACCACCATCATCATCATCATCATCATCATCAGCAGCAGCATCAGCATCAGCATCAGCATCAGCAGCAGCAGCATCAGCATCAGCATCAGCATCAGCATCATCACCAGCATCAGCATCAGCATCAGCATCAGCATCAGCATCAGCATCAGCATCATCAGCATCAGCATCAACAACAGCATCAGCATCAGCATCAGCATCAGCATCAACATCAGCATCAGCATCAGCATCAGCATCAGCATCAGCATCAGCATCAGCATCAGCATCAGCATCAGCATCAGCATCATCATCATCATCATCATCATCATCATCATCATCATCATCATCATCATCATCATCATCATCATCATCATCATCATCGTATATGTATATATACATATATATATATACATATATATATATATCCTGCATGGACCCCCCCCGGATGGCCCACACACGCACACAAACACACACACACACACACCACGAAATACCAGGATTTTTCCCGACGCCCCACAGCGCCCCTGGTCGCATTTCGAAGGGCTCCTGGGCCTCCCTGGCTCGCCACCGCACTTCTCTTGACGCCGCGGACGGCCCCAGAAGGCTTGCAACGACTCCCAAGATGGACAAGGGCGTCCAATGACGGCTCCCACATGTCCCCAAGATTGCCACAACACCTAAGAAGCTTCCAAGAGAGCCTCAGGAGACCCCCAGGAGGCCCGCGAAAGGAAATTAGCCTGGCGAAGGACCCAACCATATGCAGTTATGAATACCGTCGTTGTTAGCATCGCCTTCGGTGAATCTCCTTATGGGGCCAGGAAGCGCGTGAAGGGTGTGTCGAAATGGGGCGAGGCCGCCATGCGGGCGCTTCCACTGGGGCCTTCGGTAAAGCCCCCTTACGGGGCCACGAAGCGCGTGAGGGGTGTGCCACAATGGGGCGGCGCCGCCATGCGGGCGCTGCCACTGGGGCCTTCGGTGAAGCCCCCTGTGGGGCCACGAAACGTGCGAGGTGTGTGCCAAAATGGGGCGGCGCCGCCATGCGAACTGGACCTTGTACGGACCTCTCTATGGGGCCACGAAGCGTGTGAGGGTTGTGCCAAAATGGGGCGGCGCCGCCATGCGGACTGCGCCATTGGGACCTTGAGTGGAGCTCCCTACGGGGCCACGAAACGTTCCAGGGGTGTGCCGAAATGAGGCGGCGCCGCCATGCGAACTGCGCCAGTGAGACCTTAGGTGGAACCCCGTATGGGGCCACGAAACGTGTGAGGGGTATACCGAAATGGGGCGGCGCTATGCGAAGTGCGCCAATTTGGCCTTAAGTGGAGCTGTCTATGGTGCCACGAAACGTGTGGTGGGTGTGCCAAAATTGGGCGGCGATGCCATGCGAACTGCGCCACTGGGACCTTAGGTGCAACTCCCTGCGGGGCCACGAAACGTGTGAGGGGTGTGCCAAAATGGGGCGGCGCCGCCATGCGAACTGTGCCAGTGGGGCCTTGAATGAAACTCCCTGTGGGGCCACGAAATGTGTGAGGGCTGTACCGACATGTGGCGGCGCAGCAGTGCGAACTACGCCACCGGGACCCTAGGTGGAGATCCCTATGGGGCCACGAAGCGTGTGATGTGTGTGATGTGTGTGTGTGTGTGTGTGTGCCGAAATGGGGCGGCGCCGCCATGCGAACTGCGCCAGTGGGGCCCGAGGTGGGGCTCCGTATGGGGACACGAAACGTGTGAGGGGTGTGCCAAGATGGGGCGGCGACGCCATGCGAACTGCGCCACTCGGACCTTCGATGTAGCTCCCTATGGGGCCACGAAACGCGCGAGGTGCGTGCCGAAGCTGACGGCGATGATGGTGGCGATGATGGGGACGATGATGATGGAAATGAGGATGATGATAATGACGATGACGATGACGATGGCGATAATGACGGGAGGATAGAGGAGAGGAGAGGAACGCGGGGACCGTGTCTTCAAAACGAGGACACAACACCACAAGATGGGTGGGAACAAAAACATCGATGTACCAATAGTTTTGAACGATTCCGGCGCTCTCGCCTTTTCGGGCTTCCGACATCCCAAGGCTCACGGTCAAGGCTCAAGGTAATCCTCGCACTACCAACATTGATACCACCTTTTTACAACTGGAGCACGCACCTCAAGAACTGACGCACATGAGACAGGGAGGCCAATGCAATCATCGGAGGTTTGGGACATTGTGAAGATGCGGATGCAGCCGTCACTTTCCTCAAACAACAGTTCGACCGACGAAAAACGCCAGAGCACGCCGACATCTTCACGAATAGCAGTTTCAACACTATGAGTTTCATCAAGTTTGGGAATGTCTGACTCAGGGATCAACTTCGGGAATCTAATATCCACGGACTTACTCCGCACAGACTCCTCCTCCTCCTCCTCCTCCTCCTCCAAGCCCCCAAGAGAGAAAGAGAGAGAGAGAGAGAAACAAAAAAGAAAAGAAAGAGAGAGCAACAAAAGACAGCAGGTGCGAGAGGGAGCGCCAGGACGGACGAGCGAGGCCGACCTTCTGGACAGGATAGCCCGGCGAGGAGATTGAGGGACGCGGCGGGCCGTCCGGGGCGCGCAAAAAGAACCGACCACGGCGGCCGACGAGGCCGCTGACGGCCACAGGCGGGCGAAGGTCCGGGGCCGCGAGGAGGCGGCGTGGAGAAGCCCGGGGACGCGGGGACTGCGAGGTGCAGGCAGGCCAGGGGCCGCGGAGGCGGGCACGGACGCACGGCACGCGCACAAATCGATAGCACCGCGTGCCTGCGCGTGCTGTTCCCGGCCTCCCCCGCAGTGGGGGAGCCAGAGCGAGACGTCGACTGACCACCTCGCCGATCCTGGCCGAGCCCTCCCGGGCCCAGGATCGGTGTCTGCGCCACCCGGGCTTAGCCAAAGAGGCGTATACACCGATGCTCGAAGAACTTTCCGAGGTCCGCGCGGCCGTGCGGATTTGATGGGTCAGCGCTGGACCCGCTCTGTCTGGCGCTCGGTTCACGCCAGGGGGGGTCCCGCGCCGATCCAAAAAACCCGCGAGGACCTCCAACAGTCGATGTTAATGCAAATGTTTCGTCTTCGAATTGGGTTGATGTCTCCCGGTGTGTAGGGCCACCAAGTGCCCAAAAGCCTCGATCCTCGATCCTCGAGGTCTGCGCTTCGGCCATCCGAGACTGGCTCCCCTCAGACCGAGCCGCCTCCCCCACGCGACAGGCAAGGCGATGGAGAAAGTGTTGGCCTCCGCCCCTTCCCCCCCACTCGCGCATCTGCACAGTGGTCGGCAGCAACGCCTGCCTCTTTCGCTGGACCTCCGGGTCCTCAGGAAATCTGCTGGGGGGGACGAGCAAGGGAGACGAGCACCACTCCTCCCTGCCTCCCTCCTTCCTCCTGTGGAGGAACGATCGGGGGGGCTGGATCACGGGGGGCATTGGCTAGAAGTCGGCACCCAGGCCCTGGTCGGCGAGGAATGGCAATTGGAGGTCGATGCTTCCCCCCAGGCCAATTTTTCCACGGTCGGGACCTTTGGTCTAGCGTGTTGCAGCGGCGGCCTCTGCGGAACGCTTTGCCATGCAAGCTCACGGCATGCCGCTCTGCTTCGTGAGGCGGGAGGTTTGAGGAACAAACGGACGGTACGCGTTGATTCTTGGGGACTAGGACGTACTTGGCGTGTCGCGCCGAAGCGTGGTGGGCCAGAAAGAACCGGCGGCGCGACACGCTAATAACATCAACATGGACACATGTTCCTTCCTTCCTCACCACTGTATCCCTCTCTCTCTCCAACATCGCCGCATGGGAACTTCACGCACCACGCTGCACCGTACACGTGCTTTGGGCTGCGCCGCCACCAATGTAACCGTGCTTAACGGCAATGTTGGCAAGAGGCAAGCAAACAGCCGCGCAGGTTTGCAGTGGGCACCCGCACATCCAGTACCAGCCCAACCCTCATCCCCTGACGGCACAGGCAGCATCACATCAGTCGCGGTGCCACATTCCTTTTGAAACGTACAACGGATTCGCACTCCCGAAACCACAATCCCGTGTAAATCCCACCAGCCCATTAGGGCGTATATGGTTTAGGGTGATTGCTCTTCCAACACCCTTCTTCCCCTTCGGGAGGGGCGTATCTCTGCTCCTGGTTAACAAACAACCCGTCCCGACCCAACTGGCGGCAAACCAGGGGCAACGACAACACCCCCCCACCATGCCTGGCAAAAACAATGCAGCATGCACGTTGCGGCAAAATCTGGATAGCGCCAAGAGGGCCACAGGGTGTCCAAGATGACTTCCAAGATGGCTCAAGATACCCAAAAATGGCTCAATATGGCGTCCACCACACTCCAAGACGCCCCAAGACCATCTCAAACCAGATCTGAGTGGCCTCGGAGCTTCCCGAAGACGCTTCCAACAAACCCCAATCCATCCAACACCTAATGGAAGTTGTATGTTTTGACTTCTCTGCTTTTGGCATTCGATGGGCTTTCGAAGCCTGCTACTGGCTCCAAGATTTTCCAAGAGAGCCCCAAGAGAGGCCCAACATGGCTCAAAAATTACCCAAGAGCGCCCCAAACGGGCCCGGAGAGGCGATAGCCGGGACTCTCCCTATAAATCACTACAGGTTCGCCCTCCCGAGGCCGTAATCTCTGGTACATTACGGCAAGGTCGCGTTCCCGCAGACGGAACCCCTCGCACATGACAACGAAATCCGCGTCCCCGAAGCCTCGATCCATAGCACAGTGCTGTGGGCCCTATGAAATTTGCAATAAGATCGCGCTCCCGAGGCCACCATCATTTCGTTCCTGAGGCCACGCACCTGCCAGAACGCGCCACCCTCTCCCCAAAACAGAAAACTGTGATATTCTGTGTTGGGATAAATGTTCGGGGCCGCTTTTCGCCCGCCCCCCCGTCGTTTCCTGCGAATGCGGCTCTGGATCCGAGGCCGCAAACCTTCGGAAATAGAAGAGGGTGCGCGCTCCCAAAGCCGCGAACCCTCGTACATTACAGTGGAAGCGCGCTCCCGATGCCACCATCTCGAATTGATGCCGACGCGCGCAACCAGCCAGACAGCAAACATGCCAACGTAACTACCAACCATAAAGTTAGACAACAAAACAATCAACCGAATTGCCAACCAACCAACCGACAAGAAAACCAACCAACCTACCGTTCACACGTGGACACGCAAGCAATCTGAGGGGGGAGCCCGCGGCAGGGGGCGACGTCCTTCAGACAAGACACCATTCGCAAACGAATCCCCTGACACCATTCGCTGTCCAAGGAACAGGCCAGATCAACGCCGCATCGGTTTCGAGACGAAGTCCAGCGGGAGAAATATCGAGCACGTCCTCCAGCGAAAGGGCAGCAGGCAAGGACGCGAGCCGAGAAGACACTCGAAACATCTGATGGGTCTTTGTGGTGTCGGGCAAGGCCTGCAAGGTGACACGGCTTCCGCGCCTGTTCAGCCCACTAGAAGAGCACACGTGGGTGGGAGGGACGTGGGGGGTGGGCGGCGGGTGGGATGTTGCAGGGGCAGGGTGGTGGATGAAAGTTGGATTTCACAACTTCTTCTGATGGCAGCGTGGCTGTCAATGTTGCTTCCTTGGGGGTGCAGGGGGGGGCCCTGAGGCCGTCCCGCCAACCAGGGCGGTGCAGACTGCCCGAAAGAGCATCCCTCCCTCGCGGAGGCGTGGCACTTAACACTTCATCGTTTCTCGAACGAGCTGGGGCTGCCCCCTTCGCTAGCCGCGACCCCAAAACATCAACATCGAAGAAATTGCGAATCGGGCACGGCTCCTTGAGTGACAGCACTACGCAGACGTCTTCACCCCCATCCTCCTCTCCTTCTCCTCCTCCTCCTCCTCCTCCTCCTCCTTCTCCTTCTTCTTCCCACCCTGTCCTCCCCCTCATCGCCACCCTGTCCTCCCCCTCCTCGCCATCTCGCTCGCAATGCCCCCTCCTCCTCCTCCTCCTCCTCCTCCTCCCTCCCGCCCCTCCCCCCCCCACCCACCCTCCCTAGTCTGTCCCCCCATCCTCTCGTTGCTCCCTCTGCCCTCCGCCCTCAATTCTCCTACTCGCCTACTCCTCACACCTGATCCTGTTTCTCCATCATATCCTCTTCTTCTCCGCCTTCCTCCCCCTCCTCATTCTGTTACTGCTGCTACAAAACGTCGTGCTAAATTCACGGTCGTTCCGAATCATGCGCCGCATCGCCAGTGGGGGGAGATTCCGCCCAACAGGCGCCAGTCCTGACCGCAGTCGGACAACTTCATGGTTTTGCCAGCGTTGCCTGTGGCGGCCGCCGAATGGCCTTCATCCTTTACATGCTCGTCTACTGCCGTCTCCTCCCGACCGTCTGCTTCATCTTTCAACTCGTCATCCTCCTCCTCCTCCTCCTCCTCCATTCCTCTCCTTATACAGAACTCCTCTCTGTCACACCCCGAGACGTGTCGACAAGTTTGGCCGGGCGTTTCGCCTCACACTTGATCACCATGTCTCATCCTGAAGCTTATGATTTGCAACAGCTTCACGGTTGGAGGGCGGGTCCTTTTCAACATGTGGTTCTCGCCTCAACGCCGCCTACACTCGTCTGAAACATCCCACCAACCCTTTGGGCAAAGGTGGTCTAGCGATATCTTTCTCTTCAAGAGAAACTCTTCCCTTCCAGAAGGTGTACCTCCCCCTCCTTAAGGTGTACTTGTGTAGGTGTTGTTGTTGCCCAGTCTTGTCCTCTCTGATTATGCGTGGTGGTACTGCTGTCTTTGGGAAGCCAGGTGGCTTGCACTTCTCACGTAGAGTGCGTGCCTGCTGTAACAAATTACCCTGTGACGTAACCAACCCATTTGTATCAATGGAAACGAGGGTTTGGCCGAAACTTGTATGGACAATCAACTTGATGTGTAAGCTACTTGAGAGGCGTCACTGTGCTGGGCCCCGCAAGCAGGCCTCGAAAGTGGCGACAGTTTCACAGAACGCAGCCCCCCCAGGGACGGCGAGGTCCAATTTGAATCTGCGTGTGGCGTCACTGTGCTGGGCCACGCAAGCAGGCCTCGAAAGTGGCGACAGTTTCACAGATCGCAGCCCCCCAGGGATGGCGAGGTCTAATTTGAATCTGCGTGTGGCGTCACTGTGCTGGGCCCCCCAGCAGGCCTCGAAAGTGGCGACAGTTTCACAGATCGCAGCCCCCCAGGGATGGCGAGGTCCCATTTGAGTCTGCGTGTGTGGTACCCACTGTGCTTGGCCCCTCAGCAGCCCTCGAAAGTGGCGACAGTTTCACAGATCGCAGCCCCCAGGGATGGCGAGGGAGGCGAGGTGAGGGATTTGATCGTGGCTGCTGAGTACCCTGTGCTGGGCCCCCCAGCAGGCCTCGAAAGTGGCGACACAGATCGCAGCCCCCCCGTTCTGCCGAGGCCTCGAAAGTGGCGACAGTTTCACAGATCGCAGCCCCCCAGGGATGGCGAGGTCAAATTTGAGTCCGCGGTGAGTACCCACTGTGCTGGGCCCCCCAGCAGGCCTCGAAAGTGGCGACAGTTTCACAGATCGCAGCCCCCCAGGGATGGCGAGGTCTAATTTGAGTCCGCCGTGGCCCACTGTGCTGGGCCCCCCAGCAGGCCTCGAAAGTGGCGACAGTTTCACAGATCGCAGCCCCCCAGGGATGGCGAGGTCCCATTTGAGTCTGCCGTGTGGTACCCACTGTGCTGGGCCCCCCAGCAGGCCTCGAAAGTGGCGACAGTTTCACAGATCGCAGCCCCCCAGGGATGGCGAGGTCCCATTTGAGTCTGCCGTGAGTACCCACTGTGCTGGGCCCCCCAGCAGGCCTCGAAAGTGGCGACAGTTTCACAGATCGCAGCCCCCCAGGGATGGCGAGGTCCCATTTGAGTCTGCCGTGAGTACCCACTGTGCTGGGCCCCCCAGCAGGCCTCGAAAGTGGCGACAGTTTCACAGATCGCAGCCCCCCAGGGATGGCGAGGTCCCATTTGAGTCTGCCGTGGTACCCACTGTGCTGGGCCCCCCAGCAGGCCTCGAAAGTGGCGACAGTTTCACAGATCGCAGCCCCCCAGGGATGGGAGTCTGCCCCCACTGTGCTGGGCCCCCCAGCAGGCCTCGAAAGTGGCGACAGTTTCACAGATCGCAGCCCCCCAGTGGCGAGGTCCCATTTGAGTCTGCCGTGGTGCCCACTGTGCTGGGCCCCCCGGCAGGCCTCACAGCGCAGCCCCCAGGGATGGCGAGGTCCCATTTGAGTCTGCGGTGAGTACCCACTGTGCTGGGCCCCCCCAGCAGGCCTCGAAAGTGGCGACAGTTTCACAGATCGCAGCCCCCCAGGGATGGCGAGGTCCCATTTGATTCTGCCGTGAGTACCCACTGTGCTGGGCCCCCCCAGCAGGCCTCGAAAGTGGCGACAGTTTCACAGATCGCAGCCCCCCAGCTGGCACGCAGCGACGAGCGAGGCGAAAGGCAAGGGGGAAGAGAGGGGCGGGAGGGGGCGGGAAGGAAGGAAGGAAGTAAGGAAGGCGACGCGCGAGCAGTGCTCTATTCAAAACGAGAACCCAATGCAGGAGGGTTGGGAAATATGTTTGCTGAATAAAGACTCACATCGAGCGTGCGCTGGCGTCGACGGCTGTTGACGTCAGCGCGACAATAGTCACGCGCAGAAGTCGGAATCATGTAAAGAAGCATGCGCGATGTGGTGGGGCCAGGAAAAGGAACAGCTGTTGTACTCTAAAGGCCATGGGAATGAAACGAGAACAAAAAAACACACGCACATGGGAACGGGAACGGAACACGCCGTGACACCTACTGGCCGAACGCAGGCGAAGAGAAAATGGGCCCAGCGCAGATCCGAGAAATTCGCGCGGACCCTCGAAACATGTATGCATATGTGTTTGCTCTTCTCCGAAAGCGGACATGGTGAGTCTGGCCAACTGCCACGAAACTCGGTGACCCGCGGATTTCTGCTCGGATACAAGCGTTCCCTGGGCACGCGAATCGGATGCAAATCGCTTTTCATTTCCCGCCCACATCATCTGAACATGCGCGCCTCTCTACCCCACGCCCCCACACTCTCTGCCTTCTGCTGTTAACTGATGCTGGCTCTGCTGCCGATGGAAGGCTTTGGGGCACATCCGGGGACTATGCTCTATACTGTCCCAATGAAAACCGAATGGCCCGGCGCCGCTAAGCAATGCCAGATGAATCTTGCCTTGATATTAGGGCCAAGGCACGGCTGCAACAAGACAGCCCCGTGAACTACATAACTGAACACGATTGAAGACGGTATCGAGAGCGAACCGCTCAGCAGTCATTTCACCAGCCGGTGGCATTGTGCAGGGAACGCCTTGCTGTTCACGACGAAAGATAACCTCGCCTCATCAGACTCTATCGGTGCAAGTCCTGACGACCCCCCCTCACTGAGGTTTTTTATGTTTGGGGCGGGCCGCGATTCGTTCGAGCGTCCAAGATGGTTCCAAAATGGCGCCCGATGCTCCAAGATGGCCTCCAAGATAGCTCACGGTAACCGACGATGGTTCAAGATACGTAACTACCGACATACCTCGAAGAGACCCAAAGAAGGCCACAAAACGGCTCCAAATGTTCTCGGAGCTCCCTCAGGACCCAAGCAAGAGGCCCAAACCCTGCAAACACCTACGGACAATCAGTGGTGTTTGCCTTGTCGCTGTTTCGCTTCCGATGCGCTTTTTTGAAGCCACAAGATGGCCCAAGAGAGGCCCATTAGGGGCCCATGAACCCCGCAAACGGCCCCAGGAGCGCCCAAGAGCGGCCCAAGAGCGCCCCATTCCAAGAGGGCCCCAAGATGCTGTGTTCATGGCCCCAGAGGGGGATGCACATGTGCCCCCCCCGTCGATCGATGGCCTCCAAGATGGCCCCACGAGGACCCCCAATATCCCCCAAAGGACCCGCCATAAGAGCCCCAAGATGACCCCTCGATCACCCAAAAGAGTCCCGAGATGGATCCGAGAGACCAATTTTGAGAGCTCGATCCTCGTCCTCGTTGTCCTCCGCCTCCTCCTCCTCCTCCTCCTTCTCCTCCTCCTCCTCCTCCTCCTCCTCCTCCTCCTATTCCTCGTCGGCCCTGCCGCCGTCGTCTTCTTATTATTGTTCCTCCTCTTGCTCGTCGTCGTGGTCGCCGTCGCCGTCTTCTTCCTCCTCTTCCTCCTCCTCCTTCCCTCGCCCCCGCGCGGGCTCCAGGGAAGGCCCGAAGAGGCCCTCCACCAAGGCCATCCACCCTCTTGCTGACAAGGATCCCTCTGTTCATGTTGATTGCCCGCCTTGTTTCACGAGTGTGCATTTTTTTTCAATTTCCCCATCAACTCTCATGGGCAGGGTTTGTGAATGAGCTGGTGGGGGTACTTTTTTTGGTCGCGAGCGCAAGCGGTACAGCCGCGCGCCGTCAGAACGAAGCAACAAAGCAACGGCCTGAATTACGCACCAAGCGCACAGGAGCGAACTACGCTGCGGCTCAGAAAACGCGGAGGACCAGGAAGGGCTTCAAGTCGACGTGCAGCGCCAAAATGGCGATGAGCAAAAAGCCGACGAACTCGAAGACCGCAGTGACGCAGCCGAAAAGGACGACGAACAGGCGTGCATGCGCTCAACGGAAGGGTTCCGGACCGCCAAGAGCGGGAGCGTGCCAGCGGCAGAAGCGCTACCACGGCGGGGGAGCAGGAGAAGCATCGCCAGGGCAACCCAGGAGCAGCAAAGGCGACGAGACAGCGGAAAAGGCCACGCCCTGCGCTGGAGGCGGCGGCGCCAGAACCAGGGGTACAAGCCGACCCTGGGAGAAGCGACGAGGGGGAGGACCAAGCGCCCGTCAACCCCGAGCGGGCGGAGGCAGCAGACTCAGGCGAGTCGCAGGCCTAAGAGCCCAGGGGCACCCCGAACTGGAAGGGGCTAGCAGGCCAGCCCTAGAGGCGCCCAGGATGGCCGCGGAGAGAGGACACTTGCAGCCCGGCGTCCAGGGTCGGGGGGGTCCCAACGACCTCTGCGCAAGGCTGGGGCGGCAAGGGGGAAACCGAGAAAGGCCGACGCAGTGCGGAAGTGCCCCACCTGCAGAGCCTGTCTACAGGAAGCGATGGGACTCACCGAGGACGTAGGCCTGAGCGCGGCGGGCCGGGGGGTTTCCCTGCGGCCTCGCGTGCCAAAGCAGTGCCGCCGAGCGCCGACTGCGGCGATCCCGACCATCGTCGTCGCCCAGGGGGGAGCCAGCGGCAGCGGAGTCGCTGCTGGTAGTTGCGTGGCATGGTCCGCGGCGGCCTGCGGCGACGAGCAGCG